GTTTCCTTCCTTGCCATGCTTAGGGTCAAGGACCATGAAATCTTCCATTTATCAATGTTATTATAGTCCTGCTCATTATAGCTCGTTCCTTGGAGATTCATATTTCTCTAGATGTTTGTCTTAGTTTATTATTTCCTCTACTAGTTGTTTATTGGTAAGTCCTCGTACCACTCCTTCAACTCCTTAAATCTCATTTAGTTGTCCTCATAAGGCTCTCGTTGAGCATCAACGCTCCTTGAGGTCGTACCCCAAAGTTCGGCCCTCGTGAAATTGACGAACATTCCTATCATTTCCTCTAGGTTGACGACCACCATTAGATGAACCTCTTGTCTACCGTCTCTAGGCGTCCTTGCTAATTTGTGTCGCTTTTAACCTTAAACTAGCTAGCTTGCATCCCTTTAGGGTGCGAGTAACCTTGGACCGCCCCTTCTCGCTCATAAAGGGGGTCCATCGAGTGATCCCCATAGGAATCCTCCCCTTCCCCTTCCCGGGAAGTATCATAGTCCCCTGAGTAATGCCCAAACTGGAAGAGATGGAAGGGGAGCCAAAAACATGTTGTTTAAACCCTCCTCTCTCCCCCAAAATAAGAAAAAAGTCTATTAATAGCCTTTCAAGGTGGAGGAGTTTGGTAGCCAGTGATAGGAGGCATTAGAGGTTTGTTACTCTGTCGATGGAGTAACCCATCTAACTTAGAATGACACCAGTCACTAGAAGGGAATCAGCGCCCAAATTTGTAGCATATACCCCGAATGCTCTCTTCAGGGCATTGATTTTGGAGAGTCTGTGTTATCTTCATTTCAAATGATAAATCCCATGGCTCTCGTCCCCATTGGTGACTAGTCCCTTTAACTTCATAGGTTTGTGAACCATAGCAGTTCTTGACTTTATATTCTCGATTTTGGCATATTATGATTGACGTTATTCTTTCTATATTTTGTGTTTGATTCCTTTATGTTGTCTTTTGTATGATAGAATGACTTTCTAAGTCGATCTTGCATCCCTTCATAGTGCAAGTATGGAAATCCTAGTACATAGATCAAGACATGAGAAGAAAGTTCTACACGAGCGACCTTCGATTCGATCAACCAACATGACGCCTTAGGGAAGAAATCTGAAGGGTCATTGTTTCCTACCAAACCTAAGCAAAAAGCCTTAGTACAAGGTAAGATTAGATTACATAAGGATAAAGCAACTCATACGTTGCTACGATCAAGATAAGAGTCAATGAACTTTAGGGGGAGCTTTGCATGTGCAGCGCCTCGTCCTCTTGCCTCCTACACTCGCACTAGTTGTAGATTTCCTTTTTCGCATCGGTTTTATTCTAGATTTTTGTAAACCCAATGGGAACTTCAACCCCAGAGGTACCTTAACATCCACATTTGTTTTAAAATTGTAGAACTCACCTCTCACCACCTGAGTAACTGGTTGTGAGAGACCCTAGGAAAATTTGATCTTGGTCGTAGGGCTATGTAAATTTGCAACCACATACTACACACGATCACCTGTCATGGATTCTTTACTCTTGGGCTCATATGAAGACTTCATATTAGGTCCCCCTTTCTAGACTTCGTTTAATGTATGATTTATTCCTTAATCGTCTCATAATAACCCTTTTGATCCTCCAATTTGATCCAATGATTGACCCAACTCATCCTTGATTGCATTTGACCTTGAAAATCAAAAAATTATTACAAAAAGGCATAAAATGATAATAAAACACAAACTAGATCTATTATTAGCACATTGATCAAAGTGTTATGAAATCCATACAAAAAATTGTAAAAATATACTAAAGATGCATCAATAGAATGAGAAATGTATCAAATATGGTAAGTGATAAACACTATAATTTGAGCATTATCAATGTTCCCCTTGTTTGTGTCGAAAATCAAATGTAAAAGACAGACAAAAGTATACTCCATGACTAAGCAGAAGACAAAAAAAAACAAAATTGCATAGGCAAGCTTCCCATAGAGTTTCCTTTGTTACGATACTGGTTATACACATATGTGGTTGATAAATCCACAACAAATTTGTCCCAACACGATGACCTGCTCGTAGGTTTAGTGCAAAGTAGGCACGTGGAATCATCAACATGCATGTTGCATATGTCACATTATATAATCATGGTTGCGTGCAATCCATCTTATTTTTTCATGTTACAATCCACCCGAGTATGACCATGTATACAATGATATTGATTAAAAAATTTATATACCAAGAACCAAACATCTCTTAAAAATAACATTTCGACCAACAGATCACGAAATAGTGACATCATTTTAGTTGCAAGTGAAGGATCAAGTGGCTTGGATCTGAAAGCTAAAAAAATACGAAAAAGTAAATCAGCTCACAAGGTGTTTTGTGAGCAGATACTCAAACAAACCATATTAAATCCATGTTAACCCAGTCATTATCCAAGGGTTGAGGGTGGCAGGCTCTTTTTGGCTCACTTAAGTGAGCTTTTGTGGGATTTTTCCCACAAGCTAACCCAATCGATTGAGCATATGGAGGTGGCTGCAGACCCACTTTCATTTGGGCGAGATTTGGGGAGAGGAAGAGGAGGGAGAAGTGACACAAAAATTGGAGAAGTGATGGAGAGAGAAATTTCCAATAACTTTTTGTCTCTCTCAATCCCCCCCCCCTCTTCTCTTCCAAGGGAAGAGACGCCAGCGAGAATCCCCTTCTGTTATACTCTTTGTCTGCCACCGTCAAGGTTCGAGGATGATGATCGACAATAACGGCGTGTTGGAGATTTCGTCGTCATGCTCGACGATACTGGGCGAGCAACGAGCTCCTCCTCCCAGTGACGACTGCATGTCGAATAATGGAGAGAAGAACCTGATCGTCATTGACAATAAAAATCGTGTAGATCCATCATTGGTAGTTAGATATTAGTTTGTGTTGTGTCCATGTTAGTCTGAATTGTGCTTCTTTTGTTATATTTCAGGTCCTAGTATGTGTGGGAAGGTCGAGAATGACTTTCGGGACGATTGGAAGTTGAAAAGTGCCAAAGAGTGAAAAAAGGCCAAAGTCACGGGGATGTCAATTGTCGTGGTCACTAGACCGTGACAATTTCCAACTGATAGTGACATAGGACCAAAACGACAACAAATGCTTGCATTTTTGGATGAGATCACAGTCGGGCTGAAAATGTCACGGTCAAATGTCACCCGGGATGCATTGGCTCTCGGGGATTATAAAAACGCAGCATCTAGGAGAGAGAAAGGAGAGCTAGTTTTTGGAGAACTTGGTTCTCTCTCTAGGATTTCGACCCAAAACACCAAACAGAAGTTCTAGAGAGATCTTGGAGCTTAATTGAAGGTTTAGGTTGATCTTGGAGTCAAGGATTCAATCCTAGAAGATGAAGAAGAAGATCTTGAACAAGTTTTGAAATTTCTCTTCTCTCTTTGTGAATTAGACCTCTTCTCTTAGGTTGATGAACCCTATGTCTAGATTTTGGCTTAATGTTGATGTATGTGACAAATCCTATGTTTGATTGAGTTTATTATCTATTTGATGGATGGTTTACATGAATTTCTTGAGTTTGGATTCTTATCATGTCAATTGAGCTTTTGGCCTATGAGGGAGATAATCCACTCCTCATCCTATATCGTTCGGGTAATCCCCGGGGGAGTCGATTGGATTGATCTCCTACGACATAGGTATCCCTAGGTGGATGATTTTCATGAATAGCTTGAGTTTGGATTCCTTATCACATGGATTGATCTTTCGACAAAGGAGAGAGATAATCCCCTTAGATCCCTTTATTAGTGTCTTCGAGTAACTCCTCATCATGTATCGTCCAGGTAATTCCCGAGGGAGTCGATCAGATCAATCTCCTACGATTTATGTTTGTCCTAGGTTGAATAGATTACCACCTATCCATCACTTTACCGTTCATGGTCCGTCCCGAGGGAGTTATCCTCCTAATAGTAGGGTAGCGAGTCGATCAAGCAAGGATGGTACTCAACATTGATCAAATGACGGAACCAGGGGGTTCAAACATAAGAGGCTCCCAACTTGTAATTAGCTAGGTAGTGGTTAGCTAGGTTAGTTTCTTAATCACTATTCTAGGTTGGCTAGATAACGAATCCTGAACCTGAAGTAAGGTAAGCCTAGATCCCCGCAGTACGATAAATTTTATTACTTGCTTATCCTATGCTACACCCGGTCTTCGGTTATACTTGGCTGTCGATTCGAATGTTATAGTCAGAGTGAACCATTTCCATATAAATTCTTTAGTGTATAAAATCAGACTGAATTGCGCTTTAAAGTTTACGCTATTACGGTTCTAGTTCACCAAAACGCTTTACGTTTCTAGTTCACTAAATGAGTATTCTTAGACCTGGCAATCGGATCGGGTTGGGGCCTCCGGTTACGAGTCGAGTAATGTTGGGTTGGCTGATTTTGGGTCAAATATTGACCCAACCCATTCGGTTTTTGGTAGGTTTACAAGTCGTTTCGGGTTATGAGCGCTCTCAGAACTAATTGTTAAGATGCTATGAGTTTCTCTACTTTGGATATGAATTGCAGGTATTTATTTACTTATCTAAATTCGGTGCACTCATATTTTACATAGTATATGTCGTACTTAACAATTTTTTTGATATTTTACAATATGCGTCAAAAAGTTAAACTTATACGATTTAATTCTATGTTTTACGATTTTATTCCTTTTTCGCTTTTAGATAAAATCGCGCTTTTAACTGCCGTGTGAATATCTTACTCACACTGTGGGTTGTGGTAGAATAGCTATATTGGAAAAATAGTGCATTGGACCTTAACGAGATTTAAAATCTCTTTTAAAAGTGGGCCAGAACAATCCAAGACCAGGCAAGCGAAGTCCGGCTCAGCCCACCCCAAGCCAACTTCAGCGTGCATCTCCCTGCTCTTACCACGCGCACCGCACTCACTACACTATTCCCCTTAAACCCTAGTCGGGAGCTCCGCAACCCCATTTCTCCTTCCACTGCCGCCTCCACCTCTCCGACTCCTAGATGGCCGGAACCAGCCTTTCCAAGTCCTTCCGGTTGAAGCCACTCCATAATTTCTGCACTGCCGCAGCTGCTGATGTAGTACCCTCCGTCGATCATACTCTTCCTCTTCCGACGCCGGAAACTCCGGCCGTAGATCCTCCACTGCCGCAGAAACCTGTACCTGCGCCTGACCAGGAAGCTGCAGCTAATTATCAGGCTCGGGAGATTCAGAGCTCAGAACGCAGGCGGCTGCCAAGAGTTACGCGTCAAAACAACCCTGAGAAAGTAGAGGATGCGATCTGCCGAATGATGGCGAACCGCGCCTGGACGACCCGTTTGCAGAACTCTATACGGTCGCTGGTGCCTGAGTTTGATCACTCTCTGGTTTACAATGTGCTGCACGGAGCCCGAAATTCAGAGCACGCGCTCCAGTTCTTTAGATGGGTTGAGCGTTCCGGGCTGCATAAGCACGACAAGGAAACCCATATGAAGATGATTCAGATTCTCGGGAGGGCTTCCAAGCTCAATCATGCTCGTTGCATTCTGTTGGATATGCCTAAGAAGGGTGTCGAATGGGATGAAGATATGTTCGTTTTATTGATTGATAGTTATGGCAAGGCCGGGATTGTTCAGGAGGCTGTCAAGGTATTCGATAAAATGTCCGAATTGGGTGTCAAGAGGAGCATCAACAGTTATGATACGTTGTTCAAGGTAATTTTTAGGAAGGGAAGGTACATGATGGCCAAAAGGTATTTTAACAAGATGTTGAATGAAGGGATTGAACCGACTAGGCATACTTATAACATCATGCTTTGGGGGTTTTTCTTGTCATTGAAGTGGGAAACAGCCATGCGATTTTATGAGGATATGAATAGCAGAGGGATTTCTCCCGATGTGGTTACTTACAATACCATGATTAATGGGTACTACAGGTTTAAGCGAATGGAGGATGCAGAGAAGGTTTTTGTGGAAATGAAAGGGAGGAACTTAGCTCCTACAGTTATAAGTTATACAACTATGATTAAAGGGTATGTGGCTGTTGAGAGAGTTGATGACGCTTTGAGGTTGCTCGAGGAGATGAAGTCATTTGCTATTAAGCCCAATGCCGTCACTTATTCGACTCTGTTGCCAGGGCTTTGCGGTGCAGGGAAAATGACTGAGGCTAAAGAGATATTGAAGGAGATGGTGGCAAAGCACCTTGCTCCCAGAGATAACTCGATTTTTATTAAGCTGATATCCAAGCAATGTAAAGCTGGAGACCTGAATGCTGCTGTTGATGTTCTCAAGGCAATGATTGGGTTGAGCATACCAACAGAGGCAGGACACTACGGTGTTTTGATAAAATACCTGTGCAAGGCCGAGGAGTATGAAAGGGCGGTGAAGTTGGTGGACAAACTTATTGAAAAGGAGATCATTTTGAGGTCTCAGAGTATTTTGGAAATGGAAGCTAGTGCGTATAACCCCATGATTCAGTACCTGTGCAGCAATGGGCACACAAAGAAAGCTGAAACTTTGTTCAGGCAGTTGATGAAAAAGGGTGTGCAGGATCCAGTTGCATTCAACAATTTGATCTGTGGGCATGCAAAAGAAGGCTTCCCCGATTCTGCTTTTGAAATCCTAAAGATAATGGGACGGAGAGGAGTCCCCAGAAATCCAGAGGCATACAGTTTGCTGATTGAGAGCTATTTGGGGAAAGGCGAGCCTTCTGATGCCAAGACAGCACTGGATAGTATGATTGAAGAAGGGCACGCCCCAGATTCGTCCATATTCAGGTCAGTTATGAAAAGCTTGTTTGAGGATGGCAGAGTTCAAACAGCAAGCCGGGTGATGCAGAGCATGGTGGAGAAGGGAGTGACTGAGAACATGGATTTGGTTGCTCAGATTGTTGAAGCTCTTCTCATCAGAGGTCATGTTGAAGAAGCCCTCGGACGAATCGAGTTGCTGATTAACAGTGGATGTTCAGTCAACATCGATCATCTCTTCTCTGTAATATGTGAGAAAGACAAGACCATTGCTGGTATGAAGTTGTTGGATTTTGTATTGGAGAGGGACTTTCAAGTGGACTCTAAAAGCTGTGACAAGGTGTTGGATGCGCTGCTTGCAGCAGGGAAGACCCATAAAGCTTATTCCATCTTGAGTAAAATGATGGAGAAAGGTAGGGCCACCGACTGGAGCGGCTGCCAAGATCTGATCGACAGCCTTAATCGGGAAGGGCTGTCAAAGCAAGCTGATATTCTGTCAAGAGCAGTGAAAGGATCGGAGAAGAAACCGCATTCAAGCAACAAAGAGAAGAAAAAACTGTCTGCTGCCGCTGCCTGATCTGGATCCCCGGTCTACACTTCTCTCATGTCTCTTTTATTTTTCACACTAGGGCTCATAGATTTGATTTTCCCATTCGCATTGAGAATCAATCACACAGGTGGTTGCTGTGGAATGATCGTCATGACTTGCTTAGTGGTTTTTATTGTTTCTCCTATTTGCTCTCCGAGTTCGTAGCCAGAAGTATTTTTCCTTCAAACACAAGTCATGTTTCTTTGAATTTTACTCCTTTCAGAAATGGAGAACAAGTGGCGTAATAAATTGAGTTTGCAAAGCCGCTTTGTGATATAATCTCATGAGTTGATTGTTTATCTGGATAACTGGATTTTACACAACTTATCTTTGCTAGTTATTTTGTTGAACTAGTGTATCCCTTGGAAGTATAGAAACTTTGGGCCTTGCGGAATCACCGATGAGGCTTTCAATTATCCCTTCGTAAGAACCTATGAGCTTCCCCTGTGGTTGTCTCTCTCGTCTCATCCTCCCGTGTCCCGTCGATTATCGCCGCCATGAGTAAAGAAACAAATAATACATCTTCAGATTCTGTGTAATTTCATATTCGATAGAGACAACTCCCGATTTGGTTTCCTTCATTGGAAGCTTTGGCTACCTCTAACCAATTGAATGGACATGTTTGTTCATTTTCGATCAGAACTTCATTTCTGGAGAGTGCTTCAATGCAACTGTTGTCTGGTTCCATTCTTTTCGAGTCGTGTTGCCAAACATAACAATTTGTCCGTATGTTAAATTTTTCGATCAGAACTTTATTTCTGACGAGTGCATCAATGCAACTGTTGTCTGATTTTATCCTTTTCGAGTCGTGTTGCCAAACATATCAATTTGTCCAGATTGCCTCAAAACGAAACAATCGGATCAAATTGATCCGTTAGAATTACTCCTCCAAACGAACCCTAAATTCTAAGTAACTAGTTACTATTACTATTAAGATAATCAAATTATTAAGCTATTACAAAATATCTTACGTTTAAGATAATGACATTAGCAACTACATTACTTTACTTCGTTTATGTTTAAACAATAAATTGATCAAATAATTTAATAAACGACAATTTTAATACGCGAATATCATATTAATTTTATAGATTTGTATCAATTGTTAGTTGTTCATTATCATAAGTGACATATTACTAATTTAATATTTCGTAAATATTAATTTGTAATAGTTTTAAAGAACTTAATGTTCAAGTGGATTTCAAGTTTATATAACAATTTTAATACGCGAATATCATATAATTTTATAGAGTTATATCAATTGTTAGTTGTTCATTATCATTAGTGACATATTACTAATTTTATATTTCGTAAATTTTAATTTGTAATATTTTTAAAGAACTTAATGTTCAAGTGGATTTCAGGTTTATATATATATATATATATGACAAAAGTTAGCGTACACCCCATTGAGTTTTGCTATTTAGACAATGAATTAACCGGAGTTTGGGACATGATACTATATCCTAACCCCTAATAGGTGAATCCCAATCCCCAATTCACTAACCCAAAGCATAAAATTCGTTTAATTTTAAAATGAAAATCAACGATTCTGATTCGTCGAAATTACCATTGATTTTCATTTTAAGATTAAACGAATCTCATGGTTTGGTTTAGAAAATTAGAGACTAGGGTTCACCCATTAGAAGTTAGGGTATAGTATCATCATGCCCCAAACTCTTGTTAAATCATGATCACAATAGCAAAACTCTATGGAGCATACGCTTGTAAAAATACTTAAATTCAATTGAATTTCACTTTATGAAATGAAAAATGATTCCACTTGGATTGCAAACGAAAACCCTTATGCAAGACTATGTTACAATAGTAACTATTTTGGGCAAATCAGGTGGGTTGCAGGTCTGGTTAATTGGGTCTCGGGTTACGAGCTAATCGCACACGTATTAGTTGGCTTCAAGTTAATTGAGTTGCGAATCAATCGAGTTGCAGATTATAAGTTATCTGTCGTGTTAAACGAGCGGATTACTCAAGTTCAGCTCTGTTCTAACAACTCTGTAGAGAGGAGATGAGGGAGACAGGGAGTGGGAGACTGAGAGAGGCAAGTTGGAGTTGGCTGTAGGGTTTAGAATTGGGTGATCTATTCGATGGGTTGGGTCGAGCTAAGCAAATGGTGTGCTTGATTATGGGATTTGGGCGGAGTTTGGTCTATAAGAGCTTGGATGCTGGGTTGGGATTGGGAGATCGGCTAGTGTTTGGTGGTTCAATTCGATTGAATTTGAATCAAATATCGAGAACAGCCAACTGGTTTCGGAACCGAAAATATTTGGTTCAATTTGGGAAACAAAACTCTTTGATTCGATCAAATTGAATTTGAAGAATTGTATGCCATCCCCTAATTGGAAGGAGTGAGTTGAGAGAGATCCCTATGGATGTGATTCCTCCCTCCAGTGGCGCCTATTACTGCCGTCCCTTTCAACTCTATCATTCATGCATCTCTCCCTATAAACAATTAAACATGAAGGTTTTGCATAGGGTGTTAATTGCATAGTTGATCATTGAGATTACAAAAAACGTCCAAGTTTGGTCACTCGAAATATTTAAATCCATTGGTGGTATTTCAGTTTACTGAAACCGTTCATGTTTGGTCACTCTCCGTCCAACTCCGTTAACTTTTGCTGATGTGGCAGTCAACTCTAAAAATTGACCGTTAACTTAGTGACGTGGCAACTAAAAAATTATTAAAAATAAAAAAATAAACTTTTATATTTTCCACCTCATTATTACATTCATTAAAAAATAAAAAATCTAATTTTTTTATTTTTTAGAAAACGAGACTTGCTTCCCTCCCGCGGCGTCTCCCAGTTTGATCCAACTTCGGTGTACATAGGCCGCTTCTCCCTTTTGGAAATGCCAGAACTCATCTTTGGTCCAACTTGCTATCACTAAATTTCGTCTTCTTTTTCTCTATTGGCTGGGGACATTTGACAGCGCGGAGGCTGCGGCGCTAGCGTATGATCAGGCCGCATTTTCGATGCGGGGAGCCGGGGCGATACTCAATTTCCCGGTGGAAAAGGTGGTGGAGTCGCTGGAGGACATCGATTGCAACCTCCGGACGGTGGTGGCGGAGGAAGGGTGCTCGCGGGTGATTGCCCTGAAGAGAAAGCATTTGTTGCGGCGGAAAATGATCGAAAAAGGGAAGAAAGATAGGGCTCAACGTCATTTGAATATGGTGGTGTTGGAGGATTTGGGCACTGATTACTTGGAGGAATTGTTGACGACTACTTCCGATTATAAGGCCACCATTAATCCTAATTGGTGGTAAAGGAATGTTTGAAAGAGAGTTCAGAGTAAACAGAGTAGCTATGTTTTTGTGGGTTCTTAGTGAGTCATTCAGTCCTCTGTTTCGATCTTTGTTGCAGACTTGCAGCTTTTGGCTATTGTAATGGCTTTACCCTTTTGTCCATTTCTCTCTTTCACCCTTCTTATAAAGTTGGACAGAATTGAGGGTCGTATTTTGTAACATAGGAAGCATCGGAGACGCCACGGGAGGGAAGCAAGTCTCGTTTTCTAAAAAATAAAAAAATTAGATTTTTTATTTTTTAATGAATGTAATAATGAGGTGGAAAATATAAAAGTTTATTTTTTTATTTTTAATAATTTTTTAGTTGCCACGTCACTAAGTTAACGGTCAACTTTTAGAGTTGACTGCCATATCAGCAAAAGTTAACGGAGTTGGACGGAGAGTGACCAAACATGAACGGTTTCAGTAAACTGAAGTACCACCAATTGATTTAAATATTTCGAGTGACCAAACTTGAACGTTTTTTTTAATTTCAGTGACCACTGACCAACCATGCAATTAACCCGTTTTGCATATATGTCCTTCTGATTATATGAAAATAAAAATAAAAAATGAATTGACCAAGGAGTAGTCTCAGGCTTGATCTATGTCTCGCATGAGAGTGAGATGGTAGGTACAATCACCATACAATATCCACACGGGCTGGCTAACCGTATAAATGATGTAGGAAGTGCTCAAAAGAAATGAACTTTATTTCATGTAAGCATGTAACTGAATTCTTCAGAAAATGTATAAGCTTGACTCAAACCAATCATATCCATATTCCTGTCCAAAAGACCAAAAAAAAAAAAAAGGAAGAATGGGTTCCACGAAAAAACATTGGAATTTTCACGTCTTAAGATCAATACACAGATTGTGGTTTCAATTTGCTTCCATTATCCTTACTTCTTCTCAATCCAGAACGAAGACTCAGCCAATCCAGCTAGTAAGTGAGGTTCAGAATCTTACCCAACGGCTGAGAAGATTCAACTGATTTATTAGGAGCACAATAAGTAGTTGCAGTAGCAGGCAACCGAATGAACTTGGCAGACAAGGATTCCTCCCTTAGTGCAGCCAGCGCTGCCTTCCTCTTCTGCTTCCTTTCCCGCAGCTTCCTCAGCGCCTCCTCAACTTCAACTTTGGCCTTCTCCGCGGCATCAGCTCTCGTCACTGCCTGCTCTGCCCTTGTCCTCAAGTCTCCAATCTTGGACATTGCACCTTCCAACTCAGCTCTCAACTCCGAAGCTGACTGATCATAGCCCTTACACAAACTCTGGTTCGCCGGCGTCGAAGCTCTCTCTACCAATGCCTCGTAATCAGCCAATGAAATCATGACCTTCCCTCCTCCCCCTTCACAATTCCCATCAGTACTATTGTTGCCTTGAGATGCTATGCATTGAATGTTATGTTGCTGGTCATGAAGCTGTGGGGTTGGAGTAAGAGGCATTGGCCGTTTCACCAACCCAAGACCACCTTGCTTCTTGGCTCTGGCCTCAACTGCCTCGGCCACAACAACCTTTGACCTCATCTTTATGAGCTCCGACTTGAGGAGTGCCATCTCCACTTGAGCATCAGCCACTTGCTTCAGCAGCTCCTCGGCTCTCCCCTTGTTGGAGTTGGACATGGATTCCATAGCCTCAGCCCTTGCAAGGGCCTTGTTTTTCTCGTCCTTGAGGGCAGCGAGTTC